CATTTGTGTTCTGTTCTTGTACCCACATCCCACTGCCTACCTTAGAAATTCTTTTTTGGGGCACCATTTTTGGCAAGAATTCTATAGGAGTTTCTGGGGTTTGTTCTGATTGGTTCAGAGTCAGCAAGCTCAGCTCTCATGAAGTAATAGTATGTGTGAAAAGAAGTATCTAAATGCCAAGATAGGAATCTTGAGCAAAAGCAACTTTGGGGTATTTATCAAAAATGCATTTTGCCTGATGTAATTGTGTTTTTTTGTTAGAAATTTAATACAGTAGAAGTCAGCAAAACTTCATTCACAATCCCATTGTCTCATAAAGCTTGATTTGAAAAAGACAATGTAGAAACAGACTAGCCAGAAGACATTTAGAGCCTTAAATATTCTGATAATCACCATCCCACACTCATGAAAGAGCAGAGGAGAAGATAATCAACATTAATGACTATAAATGAAAAGAACTAGAAAGGAGGCTGGATTACTTCCATTCAAAAAAAGCAGGTTGGGTCTGATGCCGCACACCTGTAATCCCAGCGCTGGGAGGCTGAGGTGGGCGGATCTCTTGAGCCCAGGAGTTCCACACCAAACTGGGCAACGTGGTGAGACCCCATGTCTACAAAAAATAGCCAGGCGTGATGGTGCATGCCTGTAGTCTCCCCTACTCAGGAGGTTGAGGTGGGAGGATCCCTTGAGCTCAGGAGGTGGTGGAGGAGCTCAGTGACCCAAGATTTTGCCACTGCACTCCAGCCTGGGTGACAGAGCAAGATCCTGTATCCCCCCCAAAAAACAACAACAACAACAAAAAAAACATCTTTTTGAAAAAATAATCCTGAATATGGATTTAACTGTTAAGGGTCGGGGGGAACCAGGATTCCAGTTATGTTTCCCTCCCCACGCCTCACCAACTCAAGAAAGCAATGAACCAGCCCCTTTTAACAAGTGGAACAACTACAGAGATGTTTTGAATAACTGTACAGAAGTTAAGAAAATATTCAAGCCAAGACTAGTCTACTCAGTGGACATAGATACAGCCCCAAGAAGCAGTGGTTAGAGATGGCAAGTTGCATAATTTTAGAAATACCACATTAGCCACTGAGCTTTTAATTAAGAGGGTGTCTGCAGTGTAGGCCAGGTGCAGTGGCTCACTCTTGTAATCCCAGCACTTTGGGAGGCAGAGGTGGGTGGATCACAAGGTCATTAGTTCAAGACCAGCCTGACCAATATGGTGAAACCCCGTCTCTACTAAAAATACAAAAATTAGCCAGGCGTGGTGGTGTGCGCCTATAGTCCCAGCTACTCAGGAGGCTGAGGCAGGAGAATCACTTGAACCTGGGAGGCAGAGCTTGCAGTGAGCCAAGATTGCACCACTGCACTCCAGCCTGGGCCACAGAGCAAGACTCTGTAAAAAAAAAAAAAAAATGCAGTGTATCCCCCTGTGTAAGGAAAAAGCAGGTCAGTGTCTGAGCAACCAACCAAGAAACAGCAATAGTCGTCATGCCATTTGTCAAGTAAACATGTCAACATGGGGTTGTAGTTAAAAAGTAAATGAGGAAATGCATATAAACTTCATAGCACAAAGCTTTTTAGCTGGGTTTTCTTCTCAAACTATATTAACATAGTTTAAAGCTAAGTTTTATGGTTGCGTCAGTGTTACACATCAGTGATGTTCTTAAGCTAAGAATTCTTTTTAACTGTGAAACAGTACAAATTCATGACTTTACTAACAATTTATGATTGCTGAGCAGTAATACAGCTCACATTTACTGAGCACATACTATGCTCTAGAAGTGTGTTGAGCATTTCACATGTATTGTTTTACCTGAACCTTAGAACAGTATTATGAGGTAGGTGCTATACTATTATCTCTGTTTTACAGATGACCAAGCTGAGGCCAAGAAGAATAAATAGTTTAGAGATCTGTAGCTGATAGGTGGTTGAGCCAGGATGAAAAGACACTCCAAAGCCTGTGCACCTAACAAACTACTCGACTTGGGAAAGGTATTAGGTGAGGTGGAAAGCAAATGGGATGGGGGAAGCAGCATCAGGTCAGATACCTGATGATAAAGTGGGGAAAAGGTAAAGGGAGGAACAACATTCTTGCTGACAGCTGAAGCTCCAGTCCAGAAGCAGTTACTGAGGGCATGGAAGTCAGAGCCACAGAAATCAGTAAGTAGGGGAAAGAGAAGGGTTTTCCTAAGGGAAGAAAAGGAACTGACATTTGTTTGAGGTGTGACTGGAGAATTGGAAATGGCAAAACAAGAGTTTCTGAGCATGAAGGGGTGAGATGGTGAGAAATGAAATCACCCTGAAAAACTCTTAGTGAAAGAAAAGCAGACCCCTAGTGAGCAGATGGACATGTCAAACTGGCGACGTTTTGGGTTGTTCCTTTACTGTGTTCATTGTCCACCTGCCTTCAGCAGTTCATCAAACACTCCCTCTTCCTCTGGAGGCTAGCATCTGTTTTGCGTTTTTTGGTTTTTTTTTGTTGTTGTTGTTGTTTTGTTTTTTTAATAGGACTGAGCATTCAACTCTTAGGCAGTTGGTTATACTACTTAGGTTATCGCAAAGAGGGCCAGGTGCAGTGGCTTACGCCTGTAATCTCGGCACTTTAGGAGGCAAAGGCGGGCGGATCACCTGAGGTCAGGAGTTCAAGATCAGCCTGCCAACATGGCAAGACCCCGTCTCTACTAAAAATACAAATATTAGCCAGGCATGGTGGCATGCACCTGTAATCCCAGCTACTCAGGAGACTGAGGCACAAGAATCGCTTGAACGCGGAAGGTAAAGGCTGCAGTGAGCCGAGATGGTGTCACTGCACTCCAGCCTAGGTGACAGAGCAAGACTCCATCTCAAAAAAAAAAAAAAAAGCTTTTTCTTTGTGTAGGAATTGTCTAATCCTGAAAAATACTTTTTCATGAATCATCTTCTTCCACAGGTGAGTGCTTAGTAACTCTTTGTAAATGTAAATACCATGATCTACCTCAAAGGTACAGCATGTATTATTAATACTCTCAAGTAGATCAGCTGAACTTATACCTTACAGGTGTATATGTGTATATTTGTGGTAAATCTGACCACGAATATTGTATACAATACTTTCATGAAATGCATTATATTTGCCATATTGTCACAAGTTCATTTCTCGCCACCCCAAAGCTTCAATCCCTGAAGCAGTTAAGACTTATGCAGAACTCAAATTCAAATGTATAAAATCCTCAGCCTGATAGAGCTATATTGTTCTAGCTAAAGTATTCAGTATCTCTTTCGTGCCTGTCACTGTTTCATTATCTTGTCTGATGATCTTGCTTTATGTGAAATCTGTGTGATACTTAACAGTTTGTGTAAAAACATCAAAGGATTTTTTAAATTTCTGTTTTGTTTTGATTGTATGTATTATCAAACTATGATCTGCTTTACAGAGCAAAGGATCAAAACTGTAAATAAAAGGACTAGAATCAGTTATTATGAAAATCTAGACTATATAGGACTTCAGAAAACTGGTTACCAAAATTTTGGCTAATTTTGTAAGGACTTTTTTCTTTTTTTGAGACAGAGTTTCACTCTTGTTGCCCAGGCTGGAGTGCAATGGCGCGATCTCGGCTTACTGCAACCTCTGCCTCCTGGGCTCAAGCGATTCTCCTGTCTCAGCCTCCGAAGTAGCTGGGATTACAGGCACGCACCACCACTCCTGGCTAATTTTGTATTTTTACAAAAAATGCAAAATTGGAGAGACGGTGTTTCTCCGTATTGGTCAGGCTAATCTCGAACTCCCAACCTCAGGTGATCTACCCGCCTTGGCCTCCCAAAGTGCTGGGATTACAGGCGTGAGCCACCACGTCCGGCCTTTAGGACTTTTAAAAGAAATAATTTTTATCTTTTCTTTTTCTTTCTTTTCTTTTCTTTTTTTCTTTTTTTTTTTAAGGCAAGGTCTCACTCTATTGCCCAGGGCTGTGCAGTAGCATGATTGCCGGCTCACTGCAACCTCAACCTCCCAGGCTAAAATGATCCTCACCTTAGCCTCCCAAGTAGCTGGGACTACAGGCACACGCCATGATGCTGGCTAATTTTTGTATTTTCTTTTTTGGTAGAGACGGGGCCTCACCACATTGCCCAGGCTGGTCTCAAACTCCTGGGCTCAAGCGATCCTCCCACCTCAGCCTTCCAAAGTGCTGGGATTACAGGCATGAGCTACCGTGTGCAGCCAAAGATATATTTTCAAGACACTTGTAAAATTAGGTTAGGGAAGTGCAATTTTAAATTATTTTCTTCTGAGGATTCTATATTTTGTCATTGAGAGCAAAGACAATCTTTTAAAAGTGGACCTACGTAAGAGGGCTGGGTGTTAGAGCTTTATTAAAGAGTGCTGTGCTATCTGTTTGCTGTTTATGCTTTGCTCATTCTCTGATGGAAAATAAATTGTTTAGGTATGCCTTACATGTCCAGGAGATGCCTTCAGCCTCTCACCGTTTGAGTCTGGTTTGGGATTTGTATACTATATGAAACCGTGTTTGAAATAAAGGTTCCTAATGAACATTTTCCTCCATGGGATACCAATCAACTGCCTGCTTTTAATTGATAATTGGGCATTGACTCCTCAGTAGTGCCATCATCATAAACCACAGTACAGACCCTGTAGTCCACCATTGAAAAATTAGACAATTATTCAGTATTTGAACATGTCTAATCTAGGAGAGAGTAGCACCCAAAGCTGGGCACGGTGGCTCATGCCTATAATTCTGGCACTTTGGGAGGCTGAGGTGGGAGAATTGCTTGAGTCCAGCAGTTCAAGACCAGCCTGGGTAACATAGTGAGACCCCCATCTCTACAGAAAAATTCTAAAAAATTAGCTGGACATGGTGACATGTGCCTGTAGTCCTATCTACTCGAGAGGCAGAGGTGGGAGGATCACTTGAACCTGGGAGATCGAGGCTACTGTGATCGTGGCACTGTGCTCCAGCCTGAGTGGCAGAGTGAGACCCTGTCTCAAAAAAATAAAATAGTGCCCTCATATACCTTAATGGAAAGAATGACCAGACCTTTGGCAAAGTGTGATTGCTAAAAGAACATAATAACCCACTCAGCTTACACTCCATGTGTTTCCAACACAGAGGGATACACACTTGGTAGAAACAGAAAATTATAATAGAATTCTTCTGTTGGCAGAGCATATGTATTTATACATTCTTCTGTGTTTAGCTCAGTGGTTAGAGAACACTTCCTGGAAAGAGTGCAATACACAAATGTTTTCAATTTGAGCTTGTACATTTCATCTAATTGGTCCCTGAGACAAGGTTCACTGCCCTGGAGGTGACTTGGCTCAGCCTTTAAACACACACTAATGAATTTCAGGTTTGGGACAGAAGAAGGGCTGCTCTCAATTGGACAATCATGTGAACTTGTTTCCCCTGTGTGCCTAACTTAGGTATGTAATGTCACTCTGGATAGAGGGTTCTTCTACTGTCTCCAGACACAGAAAACTGATTGCCCGTGCTCAGAGCACTCCATGCTTGCCTGTGTTTAAAACTTAGGTTTGGCAGATTCCTTCATTTTTGTGAAAATAGGGCAAAGATCTTCTGAGTGCAGTTGGATGTATTGGAGGGCGCTTAATAACCTTTAGCCTGTAAAGATGGGTTTGGGCTAAGTCTGTTTTGTTTTTCCTTTCAGCTGTTTGAAGAGAAAATTCGAAGGAAAATTCATCTTTCATACCTTTTTATGCTGATAGTTCTAGTAATAGTTTAGGGATTTTATCTCATCTGCTCCAGCAGCGCCCCAACAGAAAAATCATGGAATTTGAGTAGCCAAATATGAAACTTGTTTTATATAGACAGGAAAGAAGCTAATGAACTCACAGACACCCCTTATCAGGACTACAAAGCCCAAGCTATGTATTACCCCCACCCAACCCCCCGTACCTTTGGCAGTGCTTACAAAGACTTGATCCTGACTAGCTTAGAAGACAGATGCAGTTACTCAGCTTTGTACGTGTCTCGCCTGTATGCTCAAGAGTGGGTCACAATTTGTGTTGGGCCAGCAGTGGGGTAAATGTTGATTTCATGAATTCCTTCATCAGTGGAAGGTCAGCCATGGACTGTAATTTTGTTACGGAGTGGGAGAATTTCCATTTCTGTGTGATGCTGCATTTGTCCCAGTTATGCCATTTATCATCTGCAAGGCTGTGCACAGCCTGTGCAAGCCTCCTGTCTGGACCACAGTTCTTCCTTCCTAATTTAAGCAGCGTGGGCCAGGTGATCTCCTAAGGCCCTTTCTACCTTTCACAGTCTGAAGTTCAGCTTCTGCATATATGAGGTTGGGGCACCAATTGCATTGGTCAACTGGAGACTATTTGCATTATCCAGCTGATAAACTCTTCCAGCAGACAAATGTGAATAAACAGCAACACTCAAGTCCTGCAGAAAGTTTGTCTTGAGTTTGCTGAAATGATCAGCAGAAATCTTGGGCGGTGAAGTGCTCCTAAGTGCTGGGCAGGAGTTGTCAGGTGATGGTGCCCTGTCAGCGCTGGATGCTTACTAGGGGTGGGGTCCTACCTGAGATCCTGAGTTAGCTGCAGGAGATGGGTCCAGCATGCAGTCGGGCATCAGAAAGTCTTGGTTCCTCCAGGCTCCTGACTGTCCCTATCAACCCAGATGCCCTGGCCTCATAGGCTTTGGCGAGTTACCTTGCAGTTCTAAAGCTTCTGTTTGGTCATTTTTTTAAATGATGATAATAAGTACTTTTCAGGGTGAAAAGCTTAAAGATAAAGTATGTGAAAGTATCTAGCAAATAGATGGCGTTTTATAAGTAGGAGACTAAAAACAGCAATTTGTAAAAACCCCTAATAAGTTAACCTTATCTGAAAGAGGGGTTCAAAAAACTAACATTTGTGTGTGAAGAACATTGCATAGGACATACTGTCCTTTAATCCTTAACAACCTCATTTTACAGATGCAGAGATACCAGGAAGTTCCCAGGGTCACAACACCTGGAAACAATGGAGTTGAGCTTCAAGTCTTCTGATTGAAAACTTGTGTTCCTTTTACAATATACTACCAATACAGTTAGTCCATTTTATAGTTAAAGTTCAATTTCTGATGATTCTGGAAAGGGAAATAAATGATCAGAATGGTAATAGTACCTATTTTGGTAGAGGAGATTTCCTTGTGCCCTTTTTATATGACTACAGCTATATTGCCATTTAAGACAAACCCAGGAAACCCTAGCCAGTCACTCACATTGTGAGATCTTAACCCCGAAACAGCTACTGGGGATAGCTGGAAGATTTGAATGTCTCTGGGATGTCACTGTCCAGTTTCGAAATAATTTTATAAATGGGTTTCTTCCAGGAAGGATCTGAGTCTCTGCCTGCGGAGACAGCCCTGAAGAACTCCTGTAACGTCAAGCTGGCGATTTCCAAGAAGCAATCTGGAACCTGCATTTCCAAAGAGACCCACAAGAAAGAAAAGACGTGATGTTGGGGAGCATTGGTGCCAGAACCCTCACTAGCAGATGCTGCCTGTTTCTTGGGAAGTGGGCTAGGAGCATCCCTGCTCCACCAGCCCCTGATTCTGCAACCCTAGGAATCCTCTGCTCCCTCATCAGACACAAACCTTGATATGACAGCTCCAATGAGAAAGTCCTGGGAGAAGGTGAATTAAGGACACTTCCTTTGTAGGAGAAGCTGATCCCGCTAATGGGTGACTTTTTACTAAGTAGGTCAGAAAATCTTACTGAAAGTAAATCTGTGGCTCAAAGAGACTTTGGTATTCTTTTCCCTAGTACTAACTGTGGAAGGAGTGCCCCCAAGCTTCTGACTGTCATACCTCATTCCACTGCCTTTTAGGGCTGGGTCTGAAGAGCTTACACTCCTGCTTTCAGAGCCGGTTGACAGGGGTGCTGTTCTAGAATCCTAACGCAGACTGGCACCATGAATGATCGGTTGCCGCACCGCCAAGCTCCAGACCCAGCTTGGCTTGGGGCTTGCCGCCACTGCAGGCCAGGTAACCTGTGTGGAAAGATGCGGCAGTGCTGCCTGTCCCATACTGGCCCTGACCCCTTGAGCCTCAGAAAGGGAGACATGGACAATTTTCCCCACAGGTAGCCTTAGCTTTCCAAACGTATTCTGACTGACCAGTCAACCAGTGGATGACCACAGTTCTTGTATTTCTTGGAGGTATCAATAAACCACTCTTGGTGATCACAGTCAAGGGAGAAAGCAAGAAGAGGGAAGTGTAATCTGTGACCAGATATACCCAGCACCTGCAGAATCGGATGCCATCCTCACAGAGCTGTTGGCTGTGCATGAGGCACCACGCGTCTCTTGATTAGGAATGCGCACCACTGACACCTAGGCTCACCCTTCACTGATGCTTTACCTCTGAGGTGCCACCAGTGTGCCTTCATAGGGATCCCCGAGGGACTGAGCTTGAGTGTTGTTTATTGTTATTTCCAGAAAGGATTTGAGGTGATTTGAGGGGCCTTCCATAGAAGGCCCACAGATACACTTTCAAGGGAAAATACAGATAAGAACCAAATCATGAAAAGCATAGAAATTGTTGAAAAAACCTAGGCCAAGACTAGGTGTCACAACTGAGCTCAGCATTCTGTCCTGAGCCTCCTGGCACTGAGGCAAAAAGGTCAGTAAATGATGTAACTTGATAACGACAGGGTATTCAGTCTAAGATAGTATAACACCTGGCAGACCTCTCCCTAAGCTTCAGAATGAAGACTGGCTGTAGACTCAGTTTGCTGCTTCCACCTGTTGCCGAGTGAAGATATTGAGGCTGTGATCTTTGTGGATGATACAGAGATTGGCCCAGGCTGCCCTGGCTGTCAGTAACTTAAGGAGACACAGAAGGGGGATCTTTCCTAAAACTCGAATCATGTAGGGAAGACACTCATCAGACCTCATGGGACCCCAGTACATGGTCTTACCTCAAAGTCATTTCCCTTGTTATAGTGCATATTGAGAGCTCGAAAAAGTTCTGAATTGCGGAGAACCACCAGCATTTTGGGATTTGTGACACCATCTGAAATTGCTTGCCGGGCAGATTTTTCCATTTGGATGTAATAAAACTCACGAAAGTTGCTGAACCACTTGATCATCTGGGAGGTAATGCAGCGGTTGAACTGTACAAACAAGAGGTCCATCCAGTCAGACATTTGCCACGAGGTGCTCTGAATTAGAACCATCTGCTTCCAGCTCAGTATAAGGGTTCATATACATGGCTTTAACCAGCATTAACAGGGGCTTCCTTTAAAAAAACAAGCGAAGCCACCGCTGTTTTCCAAGCCTATTCAGTTATACTCAGAAAAATCTAAATTGGCTTCAGTACCTGTTATAACAATTTTTTTCTTTTTTTTTATATGCTAGATTCATGAGGGTTGTTTTACCCATGAAAAGCTTTATGTGGTGTTTGAGTGGGACTTAGGGGTCAAGACCAGTGTGGTGCCAGATTTTGCTGCACCCAGGTGGATTGCATGGCAGGCCTGGGGCCTTCTGCCTGGATAAAGGGCCAAGGGAAGGGCAAGGTATAGGTCAGGGAGCAGTTTATTAGCAACTTTGAATTGTGGAATGAATTGAAATTAACATCAGAGGTTGCTTCAGGGATCAACCAACCAACTGAATATGAGGAAAGAAAAGTTTGAATGATGTAGGCCAAAAGTATTAACAGCCCCTAACCCAACACCCAAGGTAAAGGAGGCCCTCAGAAACCTTTTATGGGAAAAGGAGAGGTCTGGTCCCAACAATTAGTTTGATTTTCCTTATTGTCACACTTCATCTGTATGTACTTTCACTCAGTTTTGAACTATAGCAACTTGAACATAAATTTGCCAGTGTCTGATACACACACACACACTCTCTCTCTACATATATATATATGGTTTTTTGTTTTTGTGTGTTTTTTTGAGATGGAGGCTCGCTCTGTCGCCCAGGCTGGAGTGCAGTGGTGTGATCTCTGTTCACTGCAACCTCTGCCTCCCGGGTTCAAATGTTTCTCCTTCTCCTGCCTCAGCCTCTGAGTAGCTGGGATTACAGGCGCCCACGACCACGCCAGCTAGTTTTTGTGTTTTCAGTAGAGACGGGGTTTCACCATGTTGGTCAGGCTGGTCTCGAACTCCTGACCTCAGGTCATCTGCCCACCTTGGCCTCCCAAAGTGTTGGGATTACAGGCGTGAGCCACTGCACCCAGCCTATTTTTTCTTTTTCATAGTGTCCCCAGCCAAGGCAGAAAACTAGCCAAAAAGGCCACTAACTAGTGTTTCTCTTTCCCTCTACTTTTCCTGCCCATGTGTTTCTGTTTGGGGGGATTATCTACAGCTCAGTAGCTTAAGAATTTAGACAGCCAACCTTTCTAGCCTAAAGTTATTCATGATTATTTGGGTAGAATCTCAGCCCAGAAGTGGACATTGCACCGATTCCATCAACAACACTAAGGGGAGCTTGAAGAGCACATATGATGACCTAGGACTTGCCTCACACCAGGCGAAACACTGTCACGTGGGAGTTCTGCAGAAGCTGCAATTTAGTTGAGTGACTTTACCTGAACATCAGGAAAATAAGCCTTCAGGAGGTTGGAGCTGGGATATCGTGCGAAGAAAAACATTAGTTTGGCCTTCTTCAAGTGACCAGGGTTTAGACCTTCCTGGATTTATCTCAGTGTCAAGGAAAATGAACACTTTAAAATGCCAGTTTATCAATTAACTAGTGAATTCCTTGTTCCTGTGGTTTCTATTTGATTTCGTTTTGTTTTTCTGATTGGAATTGTGTATTTCCTCCATTTTTCTGTCTCTGGAAACTCTGGTCAAATAAGCTGAATGCCATATGTGCACAGTTAAGTCACAGGATGTGAAAACCATCTCGATGTGGAAAAGTTATGTACCATAGATGATGTCAAATACAGTTTGGTGTATTTTGTGTGTGTGTGTGTGTGGTGTCCCAGTGGGATGGGAAGAGATGGCAGTTCTGTCCCAGATAAATGATTTCAAATCCCCAAGCGGAGATTTACTTCCCCCCTCTGCCTCAGTTTCCTCAGCTGTAAAACGAGAAGAATAAGCTAGGTGGTCCCCATTCTGGCTGTCACTCTTATCATTGCCTTTGTAGTGTTGCCTTTATAACCAGGAAACATCTAAGCAAGCTGAGTACCAGCTCACATTTTGCTCTTGCTCAAGAAGCTTAAATGGTTGTGGCACCCACTCTCCATTTGCCTGGCAGAACTGTCCTTCATCTTTCAGGTCTTGGCTCAGAAGCTCCCGCCTCTGTTAAACCCTTCCTTGCCAAATTAGGCCTTCCTTACCCTGGGCTGTGAAGACCCTTTGTACAAACTGTGTCAGCAACGACCTTATTGGAATTTTTACTGCATGTTTGTCTCCTCGTTTAGACTGTGAGCTCCTTGAGAGTGAGGACCTTATCTTTTCATCTTGGTGCCTAGCCCAGTTCTAGGAACATAGTAGGTGCTCAATAAATATTTGTTGTGTGAAGGAGTAAGTGAGTGAACGGTCAACCTTAATCCATACACATATATGGAAATTATATTCCAAACTATACCTTACTCTGGGAACAGACAGATTCCTTCCCCTTTAACAAGAGTTGGAGAATTGTGATGTGACTGCCTAGCACTGGAGCAGGACAGAAATGAAAAAAAGATTCTTACACAAATGCGCCTTGCATTTTCAGGGACACTCCTTAGGCTGGCTGAGAAGCATTACACAGAGTAACTTGGGATCTCAGATCTGAGAGCTGTAGCTTAAGACAATTAAGACTTCCACATAGGATGAATCTGTTTAACCAGAAGAAACCAGACCAACTGACTAGTTATAGGTGGCCCAGGCACCTGGTTGCTGCACAGAAGGCCCCTCCCTGCTACCCCATCAGCCCTACTTATCCTTCCTACAGATCCACAAGTGCTGTGGAAAGAATCCTGGATTGGGATTCCAAAGACCCAGTTTCAGACACTGATTTTGCCACCTATTAGCTGTGTGACCTTGGGCCAGCCACTTAACTACTCTGAGCCTCATTGCTAAGATGTGCAGTATAGTGATTAAAGCTTGTACTTGGCCATCAGATCCCGGGTTTGAATCCTGGTTGCTCATTAGTGTGTCTTGGGGCTTTGAAGGGGCGAGTTAGCTCCTTTCTCTGTCTCTGCTTCTTGGATACCCAATCTTAGAATGGATGCTTGAGAACAGTGAGATAATACAGGTCTAAACCCCTTATCTGAAATGCTGGGCCAAATGGAGTTCAGGTTTCAGAATTTGTTAGCTTATAAAGATAATATGATGTGTGTACCACACATTCATTAACATCCACAGCTGAGACAGTCTATAATCCAATACATTCACATTTCTGCAGCAAAATGTATGACTTACTAAGTGGGATAAAATCTATAAATAGCCTCCAGTCAGTGCAGGCCAGGTTTTGCTACCGAAAAAAAGATTGCATCAGTCTTAGGTGGGGGGAAAATCATAGGGCTTTATGGGTTTCAGAATTGTAGCTAAGTGGTGGTGGGCACATATGTGTGAAATGCTGGTAGCAACGCCTGCCACGGAGAAAGTGTTCTGTCAGTGCTGCTCATGGTCTTCACATCTGCCCTCCCTATGTCACAGGATGTCATGTGAGCGTAAACGTTCTTTTTATGCTGTAAAGCAGCTTGCTCTCAGCTGGTTTTCATGGTCCACAGGAATAAATCTCTGGTCTTGGAATATAGGCAGCAGGAATGGGGGAAGAGTTGAGGGGCCAGGGGGCCCCAAGTCATTCCAAAGATAGTCAAATACTTCACCCATGCAGCCAGTCCTGGCTTAGGTATTTCTTAGGATAGGCCCGAAACCTCCAGAAGCTCTCTGAGCCCAATCCCCAGTTTGGGGGGGGGGTGGGCAGCAACAGGCACATGTAGGTGCTCAACAAATAGCAAATTCTGGGGGACCATCTGCCTGAGGTGTTTTTGCAGCTGTCTGTATTTAATGGAGAGTCAACTAGTGGTTATCAAAGGCCCAGACAGTTAGCCTTTCTTATAAAGAAAATCTGTCTGTGGTGGAATCTCTGCCTCCAAGAGTGGTGGCAAGTGAAGTGTTCTCAGCGTTGCTTTTACAGTTGCTCGCTGACTTCCAGGTTAACTTTGGGGTGTTTCCAACACCTTTGACCGGCAGGGGGCGCTCGTGGCATTTAGGACACAAAGGCAGGGTCTGGCATGGTAATGAGCTGGTCCCACCCCATCCCACTGCCCGCACAGCAGCTGCCAGGCAAAGGACACGACTGTTCCCACCTGGATATGCAACTCCACAGACTCATCAGCCTCTGGAGATTCGCCTCAAAGCTGCCCACAAGAAGCAGCAACGTGAGCACAGCTAGCTTAAAAAGCAACATCCAAAATATATTCTCAAGAACTCAAGTTCTGCAAGACGCTTGTTAGAAGTGGATTATTCTATGGGTCATATGGGTTTGGGGGTGTATACATTCTCCTCTTAGAGCTTCCACTTACTCATGTTAAAGGCTCTGAGAATTCCTGCAGAAAATAAACCATCTCAGTATTTCCCCAAGGTACTTTTTCTCCTAACTCAACAATTATTTATATCCCGAGAGTTACTCTGGGAAATACATTAAGAGAGTAACGTTTGCTTAAGGGTTGCAAAGATGATGCAATAAGATCCAGACCCCTGCAGATCAACCTGGGCCACTCAGACCTCCTCATGGGGAGCCTCCTCTCCCTTTATATGCCCAGCCCCTAGTCTCCAGGCGCTCCCTTGCAGCTTGGAAGTTGTTCCTTAAACTGAAGACTTCTGGCCATTTCCAGCTGCCTCTCTGGGTTTAATCCCCGAGGAAAACTCCTTTTCCATCTGGCCCAGAAGTTTCTGGTCCCTCATATGCTTCCCATGAATTATCTACACAGTACAGAATTTTTGCTTGTAGAGTTATGGGGTTGGGGGGGCCATACCTCAGATGAGGTCATTCCTTTGACCTTCTCCTCCTGAGTGTATGGGCAGCTGACAACCAAATTATGGGGTTCTTTCTTCCGTAGGGTATTCGTTGTATTTTGGAAGCCTATTTGAGTCTCAAAACAAAACCCTTTACACCCAAAGGAATAAGTCAAGTGGCAGAACCCGATGGGTCATAGAAGAAGGTAAGTAAACCTTCCCAGGTCCTTAAATTCCAGAATGTGGTCACCACTTTAAGCTGAAGGCCCAGAGCAACATTAAGAAGACCCTGAGTGATCTGTCGCCACCTCCTCTTCAACTTTCAGTTTTCTTGTTTCTCTGCACAGTGCCAATGATATTTGAATTTATTTTTTGAGACATTTTTTCTCTCTGTTGCCCAGCTAGAGTGCAGTGGTGCAATCATAGCTCACTGTAACCTCGAACTCCCGGGCTCAAGCTATCCTCCTGCCTCAGCCTCCTGAGTAGCTAGGACTACAGGCGTGCACCATCATGTGCAGATAATTTTTTACTTTTAGAGATGGGGTCTAGCTATGTTGTCCAGGCTAGTCTTGAACACTTGTCCTCAAGTAATCCTCCCACCTTGGCCTCCCAAAGCACTGGGATTATAAGCACGAGCCACTGCACCTAGCCAACAATGAGAACTTCAATTGCTATTAAAGGATATGTGGACCGAAGAGAAAGGCAGTGCCTCAGTGACGGCATGCAGGCCTCCCTGTTCCATCTTCACCGAGGGAAGAAGGGGCAGACTTTCCAGATGGGCAGAGGTGAAAGGCAGGGGACGCTGCTGCTGGCTCAGGACCAATGGTTGTGGTTTAGTAGTTCTCCAAGGTCGTAGGGCGGGCTCTGAGGAGGGGTGCCTCTGGGGAGATGAGTCCTGGGGAGGACTGCTACTCCAATGGCCATTGTTGCATCCATAACCCAGTAGCTCGCTAAGAATCTGATTTTCCTGGATGTGGGAAGGTGCAGTCAAGGGACAGTTTGCTGGGAGATCCTGACAGCGTTTGGGGATCATTCTTGGAGGGATAGGGTACCTAGGAGAATCTAGAGGCTTGGCCAGTGACAAGTTTCCTACTGGGACCCCAGCTTGTAGCTGGACCCTCCTGGGCAAGGCAGCCAAAGCAAGTGGATCTTCACAGGCCTCTCCCACAGGAGGTGAGGGCTCGCTTCTACCCTCTGGCACCTGCCCCTGGAAACTTCTGCCCAGATGAGTCAGGCGGCCTGGTGGATCCAACAGTACCTTTTGTAATACTGAATCCACAGCCCGGGATACTGCCCTGGTCAGCTCTTTCCTCAGAATCTCCAGCGAATCTGGTGCTCCAGAAGGAAGGAACCTGGGCTCCTCAGATTCTTGGTGTTTTTCTGCCCCAGAGAGGTCCTTGCTGGAACCCTGCTGGTGGTCACCATCCACAGCCCAGGGGTGAGGCCCACAGCCATTCCCCTGCTTTGCACTCAGAGGGCCTTTCCCGGTGCCACAGCCTCCTGGCCCCTGAGCTGTGTCCCTGGGCTTGGCAGCCTGTAGGATGTGCTCTTGCAGATGTCTTAGCTGTTGCTTCAGCAGGTGAAGTTGTTCTCTCACACGAGGGCCCCCCTTCCTGTTGCCCTGGTCCCAGGCAGGGAGTGGCATCAGGAGGCCTTGCTGTGTGGGAAGGCTCTGCTTCCTCTTCCTCTCTCGGGCCTTCTCTGGGCAGCATGGGCTGTCCCCAGCTTGTGCACTGCCTGGTACCAGAGGATTTGGGGAGAGACACATGCCTCGGACGATGGTTTCCACTCTGGCCCTCTTCGCCTGGATGTGCTCATCACCAAACCATTCAGGGTCTGCAGGGCTGGAGCTGGGGACCTGGCTCCAGGGAAACTGGGAGTCTCTACCCAGCTCTGGAGGAGATGAGCTTCTCTCACCTTCCATGCAGGCTTCTGCCAGGTGGGAGCAGATCTGGGGCTGAGGAGAAAGCAAGATGGAGTTTGGATCCATCCCAGGCACTTGTTCGGGGCTTCAGGAATTCCTCCTCCTTATTTCCTCAGCTGGAAGTGCACCCAGAATGAGCTGGGCTTCCTTCTCTGCACTTAGAACGGTGAAGAGCCACTGTCACTAAGGAAGGATTCAGATTCTGGGATGCCAGGGCTCATGAACCTTCTGGGCAGACTCCTGAAATTAGAGACAGGAAGAAAACAGCACATGTGACTTTGAACAGTCCTTTTAAAATTTGAATGTGCAAACATTCAATGCGATCTCGTTAAAGTGCAGATTTCAGTTCAGTAGATCTGGGGTGGCGCAGAGATTCTCCATTTTAAACCAGCCCTCAGGTAACGCTGATGCTGCTGGTCTCAGAACCCCACTTTAAGGAGATTCTCAGAGTGATCTTACAGGGAGAAAAATCTTCTCCTGCTTGGGCATAACAATAAAATAATAATAATAATAATATCATAGTGGCAGCCACCTGAACAAGTGGCATTATGCCAAGAACTCTACGTCCATTGCTTAATTTAATTAATTTGTCATAACAGCTCCATGAGAATGTGATCATGCCTATTGTCTACAGATAAGGAAACAAGATCAGAGAAGAAGCTACTTCCCTATGGTCATGCAGTTAGTAAGTGACAGACTGGGGTCAAACCAAGCTTTGTTTGATTCGGAGTGACTTTTCTAGTGACTAAGGGCAACAGAATCACCCAAGGCACTTTTTAGAAATAGCAAATTCGGCAGGGCACGGTGGCTCACGCCCGTAATCCCAGCACTTTGGGAGGCCGAGGTGGGCAGATCACCTGAGGTCGGGAGTTTAAGACCAGCCTGACCAACATGGAGAAACCCTGTCTGTACCAAAAGTACAAAATTAGCTGGGCGTGTCGGTGAGTGCCTGTAATCCCAGCTACTTGGGAGGCTGAGGCAGGAGAATTGCTTGATCCCGGGAGGTGGAGATTGCCATGAGCCGAGATCGGCTCTGCACTCCAGCCTGGGCGTCAGAGTGAGACTCCTTCTCAAAAAAAAAAAAAAAAAA